GCACTTTGTACATGTGAATTTATTAATGGATTGCAGTGTCTATCAAGTGTATTGTGCGTGACATCTAAGATCAGTAAACTACTACAAGCAGAATGGCAAGATGTATGTCAAACTAAAGAAATTATAACTGATGTTATTAATAATCTTGAAGAAAAAAGAAAAAACTCTATTGAAAATTTCCATGAACTCTATATTGAAACAAAAGAAATTATGTTGAACTTAGAAGTCGAAGAAAAACTGCCCCGTTTAACTGGTCGTCAAACTAAAAGACCTAACTATCCTGTTTCATCAGTTGAAGAGTATTACAGAGTGTCAGTATATATTCCTCTGGTAGAAAATATATTAAATGATATGAAGGAAAGATTTAATAATGAAAAAAATCAAGCTTTTTTATTTTTATCTCAACTTACTCCTAAAAACATTATTAAAACTAACAATGATGATATTGTTAAAGTAGTTGATGTCATTAAAAAATATTATACATTTGAAGATATGGATTTTATTGATTTGGAAGCAATGAACCTTAAAACTGAAATTAACCTATGGAAATCTAAGTGGATAAGAATAAAAGATGAAGGTATTTTAATAAATAATAACTTAATTTGTTAGATGTGTATCAATAAATAAGGATGTTTTTGTTTTAGGAGGACATGTCAACCTAGATGTCATCACTTCTGCGGAAACTTGTAATGAGATACTTTATCCAACTGTAAAGAAGTTGCTTTTTATTTTAGCATGCTTGCCTGTTAGTGTAGCCTCAGCTGAAAGATCATTTTCTACTCTAAGAAGGTAATGCTTAATTCTAATTGCATGCATAGTATATTAGTATCATAGGCATAACTAAAAGGGGAGGGCTTTGTTGGGCTTCAGCATAAGTTGGTATTAACTTTTTTTTACCTACAACATAAATTTGCTATAAAACATTTTTGGGAATGTTTTGCCCCCCTAACGTAAAGTTACGCCTATGAATAGTATAAATTATAGTTAGTATTTAATCAAGTTTATATACCTACTTCAGCTATTGCAATTTTAAAAATATTTTTTGTTAGCTTTACAATAGTAAATAATTTGCCATCAAAATTCTTAATAAATTTTTAAAATAAATTTAAAAGTAACTTATTTACTATTGTACAAATTATCATAGATTAAATATACTGAAGATATTTTCTAGTTCATGGTAGTTGAATCTTATCTTTTGTTTTTAAAAAAGTTTAGATTATGCAATTGACATTACTATACTTATATTTGAATTTCTCATTTATTTTATGTAGATTAAAAACATGGCTTAGATCTACAATGGGGCAAAATAGATTAAGCGGATTGGCTTTATTGCATGTGCACAGATCAATAAGTATAAATATTGACAAAATTATTGATAAATTTTCACAAATGAAAAAAAGAAATATTGATTTTATAATTTAATAAATATAATATTGTTTTACTGTAATTTGAACTTTATTGTATTTTATTTACCTTTCTTAAGATATGCAAGGTGTAAAAGATGCAACTATGCAAGTATAAAATGGACCCCACTGGACTAGTAATCAAGAATACACGAATATATATAAAAAAATATTGTACTTAAGTAGTGTATAATGTTCTTAAATTTAGTACCGCCCCCCCCCCATAAAATTAAGTCAAATACGCCACTGTATACGTGTGTGTATCAAATTAGCATTAGGACCATTCCACAAAGCAATGTTATCAGGTTCTCCGGTGACGACCGGATGCGTTTTACCCGAACCCGCATTTGTCGCGATGTTAATCGGTATTATTTTTATGTTTATGGATTATCGTGACCGTCCGTCGACGTAGTTGTCGTATATCGGCGAGTTTAGATAATACATTGTTATTCGAAGTATTGTACAATTAGCGACCAAAATCAGTCGCTCCGCACCCGCCTTTTGCTACGGTCGTAATAATAATACGTATAACTTAATAAATATTAAATTATTTTGTAATAATTGCGTTTATTCTGTGTTTTTCCTTGAGAATTTTAAGCCAGAATGGCTCTCAGCAAACCAATTACGTCGAAATTGAAAGAACAGATTTATCACCAAATATTGAAAAATTATTAGCTAATAAGTCTCTTCATAGGTCTCACTGATGTTTTTTTTTAAATATTATTAAAAATTAAAACATGTGAAATTTAAAATTTTGTTTAATTTAAATACCTATCTGTCCTACCTAATTAAGTATCTATTGAAAATAGAATTTAGATGAATTATAAGTGTAAGCGAGTCTTGTTCATAACATGGCCCGCCAGCTAAATGTAATTGCAATTATAGCCCGCTTTCAAAAAAAATTGGGCACCCTTGTTCTAAACCATTCGAAAAGATATTTTTAGATATAGTTGGACCATTAGTAACTACAGTATCAGGAAATACTTATATTTTGACCATGCAAGATGATTTAATTAAATATTCGTTAGGAGTACCAATACCAAATCATACAGCCAACACTGTGGCTGAAGCTTTCGTAGTACAATGTATGTATTCATGGAATACCTGAAACCATATTAACTGATCAAGGTTAGGTTAGGTTAGGTTAGGTTAGGCAAATTATTAAAAATAAATAAAATAAATACTAGTCCTTATCACCCACAAACAAATGGAGGATTAGAAGATCACACAGAACATTAACTGAATATTTGAGACATTATGTAGATAAAGATTTGAATACTTGGGATAAATTATTACCTTATGCTTTATTTGTTTATAATTCAACAGAACACACGTCCACTAATTATCAACCCTATACATTATTATATGGAAAAGAAATAAATATTCCAGTAAACATAAAAAGTAATCCAGAACCGAGATATAATTATGATGATTATCTTTACGATTTAAAACAAAGAATGCAGGAATCTCATAAAATAGCTAGAGAAAGGTTAATTAAAAGAAAATAAAATCAACAATTAATTATGATAATAATGTGCATAGTGAAGAGATGCATGTAAAAGATTCTATTTTGTTACGAGATAATACTCAGAAGAATAAGTTAATGTATTTATGGAAGGGACCTTTCGAAGTTTTAGAAATATTAGATTCTGAAAATATTGTAATTCAAAGGGGAAGACGTTAAGTCACAGTACATAAAAATGATGTTAAAAAATATCATGAAAATCCTATTTGATAAAATATAATATTAATTATAGCTAAAGTATATGTACAAATAATATTAATGTAAGTAATTAATAAATAATAAATAATAAAATAAAATTATTTTAGGGAAAAACAAAGGAATTTCATATTGGAATTAGAAAGGGCTATTGGAAATGAAACCTATCAAATTAATATATTAAAACAAGATGAGCTACCAAATTGTTTACTAAAACATATAAATACTGCAAATCATAGTTTAATTGAGCCATTTTCAAGATTGCAAATAAAGGAATATACTAAAAACATTGCACGTTTTTACATGATATGACAGAAAATAGAGGATGGTTAGATTACTCATGTTGTGAAACGTTATTAGATTTCATAGAGTATATACCAGAACCTAATGATCTGTTAGAATATAGAAGATTAAACAATTAAATAAAATAAATTATATTGTAGATTTATTGGTTTATTGGCTGTACAAGGACAAACAGGAAACTCAAATAATCAAGGTTCCGAAATGAGAATTTATTATAATACAGGGAGCGAAAATTCAGGAAAAGTTGTGATAACAGGAGTGGAAGTACCTAATACAAAACAATAGAATAAATATTCCAAATACTTTAAATGGTCATTGAAAAATAGCTTCATTAACACTAAAATGTAACACTGAGAGAATAATCAATGAGGAAATAGATATAGGATTATCAGGAAAGCAATTTAAAATAGAACAATCATGTAAAATCCAAGTGATAGGATTAAGAAGAACAGTTGAGGATATTAAAATAGACAATATGGAATATTGGTTAATGTTTGAAAAAATGCCTTTATTTGAAGAAGAAGAATTTGAAAACCAATCAACAGTACCACAAAATAGTATTTCAGATGACAAAACACTTAACAACGATAATAAAACAAAACTATCATTTAACAAAAGATCGCCATTAAACAATTACGACACCACAATTAATTTAACTAATAAAATCATTACTAGTACAGAAAAGAATATAAACAATGCAACCACCATAGAAATACCTAGAATTATTATTAATTCTACAAGTAGAATCCCAATCGATATTACAATAGCAATGGAACAAAATATTACTAATAAACCGACGACTGAAATAATTACGATTAAGCAAATTAACCTAACTACTCAATCAATTAATATAACCACGAATTTACCTACTACCACATTAAATCATTTCAAAACAACTATTGATAAAAGAACAACACAATATGAGGGTAATAATAAGTCCAATGAATCAATTAGTCATACAATCATCATTGATAATAAAGAGCTTAAGGAAGAATATAATTTAAAAAATATTTATGTAATAAGTGTAATAATGGGGGTAGTAATAATATCAATACTTTTATTTATAATTGGTATACTGAAGAATTATGAATTAGTTGAAAGAAACCGATATAACTATTTAACTTCAATAGCTATGACTACTTATAAACCTTGTGATGAAATAAAAATGACAGAAATAGAATTATAATGTGAAATTAATAAAAAAAAAATTAAAAAAATTAAAAAAAAAAAATTAGTTATTAAAAATAAGTAATAAATGATAATGTTAAAATAAGGTATAAAACAGTTCCAATGAAATAAGAATTATTATTAATTATATAATTATCTGTGAACAGAGAATTTAATCGACCAATTGGCTATGCAACAATGGTAATAAGATGTACAGACCCACTAGAATTAACGGGGAAAGAAACCAAACTAGAATTAATAGCTCTGAAAAATTTGGCTAGAAATATAATAATAATGCGGAAAGAACAGTATGACGACCACAGCACTGGTCCATGGAGTCAATTCATGATGAATTGCACTATGAGAATAAGATCAATAAACTTCATGAGTAGAAAGGGTTCAGGGTCGGAAATATAGGTATCTGTCACGTGTTACATGACCTATAGTAACATGTGATGGAATCAACACATAAGACCAAACTCTAATTTTTAGATATATGTAAAACCAATGTGTAATACATAACTGATAATAAAAAAAAAAAAAAGTTTATCCATTTTTATTGTATTGTTAAAAATTAAGATTTAGTTAAGAAATGATGTAAGCAAAGATAATTAATATATAAGGTTGGACACACTGATAGACCTGAGACGGTCCCAACCACTGTGATCTATATAATAAAAGTCAGTTAATAACCGAACGTTGATTTGTTAAGTTCATCGCCTTTATCCGCTTAATTAGTGTATTTAACANAGAATTATTAGATTCACCACCGGAATACAATATAGTAACTGAAATAGAAAAATATTATAATTTTAGAACGGGATCTAATTATGAAATAAAACAAAAATTTGGGGATGATATAGTTTTAAAATCAAATAAACAAGTAGGTGAAGTAACAAAAGTTAAACTTGACAATAGGTTTATAATATTTTTAATAACTAAAAGTGAAACAAGACAATTAACTACATATGGAAATTTATATACTACTCTGTTAAATTTGAAACATTTTTGTGAAAAACATTCCTTAAATAAATTAATAATGAAACAGTTAGGAAGAATTGATGGATTAAAATGGACAAAGGTTAGAGCTATGATTAGATATATCTTTCGAAACACCGACATAGAGATTCTTATTTGTTCAAAATTAGAATATACAGAGGAAGAAAAATTAGTTATATTTAGACAACTTCATAATTCAGTGTTAGGAGGACATGCCGGAATAGGAAAAACAGTTAAAAAGATTAAACGACAATTTAATTGGCCAGGATTGAAAAATGATGTAAAAACTTATATTAAAAATTGTGAATCATGTCAAAAGAATAAAGTAACGAATAAAAAAATTAAACAACCAATGGTAATAACAACGACAAGTTCAAAACCATTCGAAAAGATATTTTTAGATATAGTTGGACCATTAGTAACTACAGTATCAGGAAATACTTATA